TTTCACAGCAATGCTAGCTGTTTTTCTTTGTAATATGTTGTGTTGTAATTATCTGAGTATAGTAACATGATTAGTTTTCAGGCGTAAACGATTTAGTCCATGCTGCTGCCTACCGTCTGTCTCCGATGGCCCATTCGCTGTTGTGTCCACGTGACATGCTTGGAGTGCACAGCTCAGAAATGCTGCAGCAGTTTTCTCATGAGCACCTTATTGCGAAATCGAACGCCCTGGTCGGCGTTGGAGTCGAACATGATTTGCTGATGTACCTTGCTTCCGAAATACTGTCCCTCGCTGAGGGTGACCCCTCGAAACCAGTGCCTGCCGTCTATTATGGCGGTGAGCGCTTCCAGGAAACGAATAGTTCCCAAACGTATTTCGCATTGGCCCATCATGGCGTGAGGTTTGTCATTTTATTGATATTCAGTTATATTTACATGTTCATATTTACTTGATAGTTCATCTGTGCTCGTTTTAAATGTTTAAATATAAAATTTCATCATATGCCAAGGGAAAAGACAGCGACACACTTTGATTGTACCCTTTTCGAAGAAAATACCGAGATAGTAATCTCTAATCCTTTTTGTCAGCATTTGTATTTGAGTAAAATTCTGATAAATTGCTTTGCTTTCAACGCGTAAGAAGATTTACAGTCACTGTGGCAACAGTTTATTAGTTTCACGTTCGCTGAAAACTTAGGTGCTTATGACCGATGCTTCACGACTACCACAGTGTCTAAAAACGCAGACGTTCATTCGCCCTTACTTTCGATTCGATATTTGGCCCTTTCGATCTTTCCATGATTTGTGGCGTGAACAAGAATTTGGGAGAATGAGAAAATAATGTTTTATTGCATGAGCGGTTACCACTTGGATAACTTGGACCGGCTGACAACCGGTGACGAATTACCCTGGCCACAACGCGTCTGCCATTCACGCGGTTTCGAGCCTTCTCCATCCAAACATGGCCTTCAGCGTCAGGGTCTGGGATCAAGCCGCCTACTCCGCCCGCGAGGATGCCAGTCGACGATCATCGCCGACTATATGCCGTTGGCGAGCTGAGCTATGTGCCCGGCCCATCGTAGCTTCTCCCTTCTGCTCTTGACACAACATCTTTCACTCTCGTCTGCTGTCTGATCACCGCAGACATCATCATTGGAGGTTTGGTCGAGGCTTGAACCTCCTAACATTCTTCTTTCCACGGCTCTCTCAGTGACAGATAGCTGGAGATCTTCAGCTTTAGTGAGGGGCCAAGATTCACAGTCATAAAACATGCAGAACTGAACAGGTGGGCTAGAATTTCCTTCCTGACGTTGCCTGTGAGGACGTCCCAGATGGAATGGAACATGTGCCAATCATTTCTCTTGCATTTCTCATTGAATCTCTCCAACGTAATGAGCGGTTATATCTTTATTATATTTATTGTATATGCATTTTTTAATTATTTCCATTTAAGCTTTTAAATGTATATCTGTGTGATTAAATTGTGCAGTGTTTAGCTTAAAGGAACCGAAAGACGCGATTTGTCAAATACTGCTGTGCAGAATCCTCAGCGACAAGTCGCGAACTGTCTTGAAGGACGGTGGTCAGTCGAGACTTATGAAGGCATTTGGCAAATACAACTTCAAGCCCTTTGAAGTACGATTATTTTCGTTAATTCATTTGGGGAAATACTGCCGTTATTAAGCTTATTCTAATTTTGAGGTGTCGTCATTGAATTACCTGTACTCGGACACAGGATTGTTCGGAGTAAGCGGCTCGTGTCATGCTTCAGACAGTCACGATTTCATCTTGGCCGTTATGAACGAGTTGGAGCTCTTTGGCGAAAAAGAACCTTCTAAAAAAGAGCTGGACCTTGCCAAGCAGAAAGTCATAGCAGATTTAATCATGCAGTCAGAAAACATGAAGCAGTTCTCTCAGAACTTTGCCACACAAGTGATTGAACGGAAGCACGACGTTTTCACGAACGATGAGATCACGAAACTTGTTGAATCCATTCAACCGAGCGACATGGTTCAGGTAAGAGACCTTTCTGTGTGACAGCTTGAAAGTTTCCCATGTTTAGCAAAGCATGTTCGGGCAAAGCGAGGAAGTGTTAACTGAAAACTAAACATGACTATAAGCTCTTTTATTATTTTTCGTCTAAGTTGTAATGGATCAGTCATATGTGACTGGCTAATGTTTATAATCATGGTGATCCGATACCGACGAAGGCAAGATTTAGTTCGTCGGTAGCAGTATGGACTGAAAATGGTTCGCTGTACAGCCTGAATTGGTTATAATTGTTTTCATGTTCCTCTTTTTTATACAGTTATTGACTAAGATGACACTAGTAGCTACGATACTCATCATAGTGCTGAAGATAAATTTGAAGCAGAAGTTTTGTTATACATATTCAGTGTTACCTTTGTTGAATCAAAATGACGACGATAAAGAAAATATAATTTGATGACCAGAATTATGTTTGTTATAATATCATTCATTTTCATAATGAGGTTTTAAAATTAAGGATTGTGGTTTGCTTTATCTAATGTAGTACCGTAGGCACGATGACGTGTGAGGTTATTCCGGAGAGTAACGGTGACGGTGAGGATATTTTGCATAACTTATCCCACCTTTGTTGCATATATGACATCGTCTTCAGCTGTACATTTATGTTCACGATGAAAATCAAGTTAAAGGTGAAGGTAGAAATTTTGTTATACCTGATTTTTCTGTTTGATATGATGATATTCATCATACTGATAATGGCTTTAAATATGATAATTATATCGAAATAATAAAATGGGCGAAAATGGCAACAACAAAATCATAATCATATAACTGTGTTGACGTTCATCGTAATAATTTTTTTCTACGTCGTTGCAGTTATGGTTATAATAGAACTAGAGTTGATTGTAAGATTGTGCAACATAAATTACCCGAACTACCCTGAGTATACAATGCCTTCTTCACCTTTGTCATTGTCAACACAATGAGGATGAAGTTAAATCATAACTCCAGTAACTGTTATGGCAGTGACGAAAAGAAACTTAAATTTGAAGATGACACTGCATGTGAAATGTTTGGATCTTGTGTACCTTTCCTTTATCTCCTTCATTTTGATAATCTTGAGATAAGAAATCTACATGATGTATTTTATGTTATATGTAACAAGAATTTCAGATTCACCTTCGTCGTAGTAGTCATGCTGATGATGAAGTTGAACGTAATTATTATGCAAGTGAAGTTATATGGGATGGTGTGGGCAACATACCTGGATTAAATTATAAATCGTGCCATCTTCGCATTTATTAATTAAAGGTTTTGTTTTAGTGAGTAACATGAGGGCTATATTGTGTTATATACAATGACTACCTCACGTCATTTGATATATGCATATGAAATATATTGTTGTCTCGTTGAACCCGGTTGTTAGGTGTCTGTTGTAATAATAGCTGTCGTTTTTATTTGAGCTAGACTGTCCCGTTAAAGTTCATACTTCGGCCGTATGCTGTTGCTTACCGTTCATAAAACTTCTTCAGTGTGCTCTTACCGCTGTTGTCGATTAATCCTGTATCCGGTGTCTAAATGGTATAAATT